AGATAAGATTTCTGTAATCTGGAAATTACCGAGCTAAAAACCCATTGATGAGCTTCTCGAAGCCAGTGCGACCCAAAGAAGTATATCGCCTTTAAAAAAAGTAGTTAGTCTTGCTCTTCTAGAGCTTCTCAACATGCACTCGCTTCACACAGACCTCGTGCTCAGTGATTTTCCTGCCTGCACCATAAGTATGGCTTAGCTGCGTGGACCGCGTGAGCCACAGCTCGTCTTCCTTTGCAATGATACTGTGCTCTGCATAATGCTAATGCATGGTTGTCTGGGGTGTCTCACGTACATGGAGATGGAAAACATTGTTATAGGTATATGCACAGCCTTCATCTATTTGAAACCAGAAGGGTTGTGAGATTTCAGCGCATACGAATGATGTTCAGACTTGCAGATGACTTACCCGATTACGCTAAACAAGTCTTGAGAGTACTGAGATTTGTAATAATAAATTCGCCCGTTTACAGCGATGAAGGCAGCTGGACTGGATAGGTGATCAAAGTAACTTTCCTTTCACTTTCAATTTTGTGTGCCAGAGATAAATGGAAAAGGAAGACCCACCCCGTACCAATAGAACAACTGCCAGTGGAATTCCGTGTCTAGTGCGCAGATCTCAGTAGAGCCTTGTAAAGTTTTATGTCGATACGAAGACTCGGTTCGATGGTCATTTTGACTCTGTGTAGGAAGTAGAAAGGCGGGGCACGAAGGAAAGTAGGTCGTGACCGGGTATTCACATGCAGGACTACTCAGGGTTCAGCTAAAGTTGCACCGACACTGAGAGCTACAGAGCCAGTGTATATTGCACGTGGGCGTGGTAAAGGGCACTGAAGTCTAAAGATCCAGTCTGTTGAAGAAATTAGGTGCAAGTCCGAATGAGAATGGGATAGGATCAGTTTTGGTCATTTCAGCCATCACTGTTGAACTCACCGCAGGCTGGTCTTCTGGTTTTGATACACCCGTGGGCGATCCGAGCGACCGTAGTGCTCACAGTCGATTATGAGTGGGCGACGATGAACATGGTTTGGTTGATGGTTGGAAAAGTCTTGGCGACCAAAACATCGGGTAACATTATTGATAACCCACAATGAGTCAATAGTACAATAGCTTACATGAATAAAAATAATCACAAACAATTTTGGGATCGGACTTTACTAGTACACGAGGTTGATCTGATCAGGTTAAAACCTTTAGTCGCACCACGCACCCAAATAGACTACTGCTACCGTATGTGTTGATTTGCTGCATGTTCGTTGCGCTCACTGGTCTTCGTGGCCAATGCTGCCATCCTGAAAGGCTGACCCTAGCTCGATTCCGGAATCCAGATTCGACCTTTGCGTTCTTCTCTAGGTAAAACAATGTTATCGTCTTTGCCCTTGGCAACTAATATTGTTGCAGTTGCAGTTGCTCCTTGCAAACCTTTATGTTTGGAAGTTTGGGCTACTCGCTGTACGTTGCAACGGTGCACACCATTAAAGAACGCCGCTGGCGTGTGGACTATAGCCTTGCCCAAAAATGAACAATGCTAGCTGTTCCATTTCGCACAAAAGACATGCCTTTGTTGCGGGCAGAGTTTGGCCATCTGGACATTGCTGTCACCCTCACATGCCTATTTGAGGCAGGTTATTCTTAGATTTATACTAAAACCTGGCTTCTCTACTCAAGTGCTGTCGGAATGAATAGTGGGACTAGCGAGAAAATATCCTCGCAAAATAAGACTATCGTCGCAGAGGAGCTCAAGGACATTGAGCAGGACATTGAGCTCTGAAAAGAAGGGATTCTGAAGTGCGTTCGTCTTTCACAGAGCTGCGTAGAACCAACTGAGATTCTACGTGACAAGGCTGCAGGCAGCTGCAGAAGATCACCGACATGTACTTTCCAAAAAGAAGGAATCAACCGTTATACAAGAGACAGATAAACTCATGCCACTGGATGCATTGGGAATCATAATGGTATCACATGGGGAAGAATTTGGAGATGAATCTGCTTTCGGTACGCCAACACTCATTTGTCGATTTAGTTTCCTTTAGTTGATATATTCAGGGACATCACTGGTGAAGTTGGATAAAGCCCATTGCAAGGTTGCCACTCTGCAGGAGGTGTTCTCCCTTACTTTTCAGGATACCTTCATCACCTCCTGCCAGAACTTCGTTCAAGACATAAAGGACTATGAACACCAGCGGAAGAAGCTGGAGAGTAGGAGGTAAGATAAGCTAGTGTTCCTGCCGTCTTGAAGGTGCTTGCTCTGTGTTCAACAGGCTGAGCTATGACGCCGCTATGGCGTGCTAATTTGTAGAAGTTTTTCGGGAACATGAGTTGAGTTCTTCAGCTCATTTAGATATGCTATGTTAGTGACGTTAGAAGCGTGATGGACATGCTCTTCCTGATGACATGCACTTCTCAAGCAGGCAACTTGTTACCCTTTTCTTAAAACTGAAACTCTCAGTATGTGCGATCATTTTCGTGAGGACATGAATTGACATATGTAATACCCCCAGTTGAAGATGCATGGACAACCTGTCAGGTTGAATGAGAACGGTGACAGAGAGGTCGACGAGCGATTTTGGGCACAGGCTGCGGCAAACCAAGCTGCAGGACGTGCTGCTGCTGAAAATGATGAAAGTAAGAATACTGTGCACTCACGCTTTGCTCCGCAAGCTGGTGATGGACTAAATATACCCTTCAGTGACCGGTTCTTCAACTATGACGACGACCCGGGCTCTGATAATGATTTTGATGGCGACGGTGCAGCGCTACAGGATGTTGGAGAGCAGAATCTCTTAGCTGGCATGCAAGGTCGGACGCGGCGGGTTCGACCAGAATTTGTCAATTGTGCCAAGCGTGTCAGACGAGGAAGCTGAAAGAACATATTTGAAAAGGCTTGGACACCAAGGTCAGGAAGCCGGAGGAAGACGAAGAAGAGAAGACGATGATATGGTTTGTCTCTTTCAAATTGCCCCTCCTTTTCTGCTCACCTGCTTATAGGATGTTGGCGACACATCTCTTACTAACCCCAAAGAACTTACGTTTAGTTCATCTCAACCATCGACGTCATCACCTGCTGTGAATGAACCAACCTCGTCCAAACAAAATACATCTTCATCAAATGCTGACTTTGAAGCTGACTTTGCGAAATCTCTCGCTGAAGACATGGAGGCTCTTTGGCGCAGTTTTGCGCAACAAGGAGTGAATGAAGGTTTAACCAATGAAGACAAGACTGCAGAACAACGAGAAGAGCGGGAGCGCACGCTCGCAGCAGCTTGGGAAGCCATGCTGATAGAAGGGATGGATGGCGCGACCGACCCAGCGCTCACACAGGGAGCACCTATTGCCCCGAAAACTGGTGAAAAGGACAACTTCCAATCACGCATCTGGAACACTATGAACAAGCTCAAGGAGAGCGAGTCAGGCTTGAAGTCATCGGATCCAAGCAGTTCTGCTACTAGTGCTGATTCACTCGAGGCACTTCTATCTCAATTCAGAGACGATGATGAAGAAGAGATGCAGGGTGTCCTAGAATCCATGATAGGCCAGCTTATGGGCAAGGACGTCCTGTACGAACCCTTGAAAGAACTCTTGGATAAGGTAGGCCTGTTCTTGACATAACGAAATCTCTGATTTTTTTTTTCCCTTCGTCATATATGCAGTTCCTGGTCTACCTCAAGGCCAACGCAACTACATCAACGTCCGATGATAAGTCACGCTACGATGCGCAGATCATCTGCATGAAGCAACTCCTCAAAATTTTTGAATCGAAAGATTATGCTGATGACAATGACAAGACAAGAATGAAAATCGTCGACCTCATGGGCGAGGTGCGTTAGCTCCAAATCTACTAAACTTGACATAGCATTGACATCGCCGGTACAATCACAGCTTTAAAAACACGGGTCTCCCCCAGAGGAAATCATGGGCCCTTTACCCCCTGCATTGAACATGGGCATTGATGGTATGCCAAATATGCCAGATAACTGTGTTATCAGTTGAATGCATATCAGCCGAGGGAATGATAACTTTAAGGGAATACCTGAGCTTGTAGGCTACATCAACATCGTATACTTATGAAAGCAATGTTCTGATTTTGGTTCATGTCAGTTCGATCTCTGGGGACCGGTGGACCCTTCGCCCTGTGATGCTACTACATTGATGGCTTAGCGACTTGGGGTTTGAATCGTGCTCTAGAGTTCTTCCGGACGACTGGGAACTCATTTATCACGCACATGATGAAGTCGGTGCCGAAGGACAAGATGGAAGATATCAACACGAGCTTCTGTTTCATATGCCTACTACACCTTGCTGATGAGCAGGGACTGAAGCTACAAACTTCTCTCGACAACCAGCTAGACCAGAAGGAGAATGAAGTTATGAACTCTGAAGACAGAGACAAAGTGGGGGATATAAGTGTGCCCGCTGCTTTTTTCATTGATCATCACTGACCCTTTGCGCCCTATGATAGGTATTCCACTGCTCGGTTTGGACTGCGGTCGACTTTTTCTATTTCCATATGCTACTGTGTCGTTATTGCTTTTTCTTATTCCACTACCGCCAAATTGAAAAGATATCTTAAAGTTCTATCAATGATTTGTCTTTTACTGTTTGCGATCACCACAGTACACTTGTTCATTGTCTTTTCACACGTGCTCTTGGTATCATAATTATTGTTGCCCTCGAAACGCGGCGAGCATATACAGACAAAGTTCAATATTAATCATTGGTTATGATCGGGGAAGAACAAATGATTCAATCTGGAGCTTCAAGTCATCTAAGCATAGTTTTTGGATTAGCACGTATCGGTCGTCAACTGCGATGATGCGCCTGCGACGAACAATTGAAGGCGACATTTAGAGCAAAACAGCACTGACTCAAGCTGCGATTTATAAAAATGACAAGTCAGTTCGGTGGCTCGATTGTATTGTTGATCGATCCATGGAGTCGAAAACACTTTCTCCGAGTCGCCGGAAGACTAGCGCAATGCATATAAGGGACTTCTAAGAAACTTATTCTGAGCAGTGTTGCACAACAGCGATGGCAACTGTTCCATGGTTCATAATTGGCAGCGGTGAAGTATGGAGATTGACAACACACGTCCCTTCCTCCAGGATAGCCCAGGGATGAGGGACAGACTTAGCTTGTTCTTCTTTGCATTTGGAATAGACTATCTGTTTGAAAATTCCATGTTTGTGCGGCTCAACATTTTGTATTATCGAGACCCGCATGCTGCCAGGAGGTCCTAGTTCATTTGTATCAGTAATGACTTTTGTTCACCGTCTCCGATACAGTTGGATATGCCCCTGGCATTCCTAGAGGGAATCCTAGCTCATGTTTATCAGCAGTCGCTTCTTTCTTAAACATGTCTTCAACGCACCTGCCCGGTACATCATCCCTGAAGCCTCAGATGTCGGGTTTGATGCTGTTCCGAGGCACAGCAATCTGCATTTCACACTATTGAAGATGTGCGTTACAGCAGGTGCATGATCCGTGGTTATAAGGCTCTAATTGACTGTCACCCAGATATTTCCCTGAAGACAATTCTCCGACTTACATCTTGTTTCCCTTCGGCATTTTTTTTCATGAGATTAGCAGCTTTCAAATCACAACCGAGCATAATATCTTCGATATCTACACTCTCCAACGCAGCTTGGAGCGCCGTATCAATGCACATGCGCAAGTAATCAGTAGTGGGATGCCCTATCTTACAGTGACACTTGATACAGTTCTGTACTGTCTTGTGCAAGTGCTGAGTAACTTTTCTTTTACTTGATGACTGGTCCTTTGTGGCCCGATTTTTGGTGACGTCATCGGTGACACCGATCATCGAGATGTCTGCTGGTAGCATGACAGCGAGGGTTGGAACCTCACAGAAGCATAAGATAATGTAGGCACGGTTTAACATTGACAACTCACCTCATCTGCAGTGCCAACGTTCATGTTTAGCGCACACTGGCATTCTGACATCCCGGCAGTTGAATGATTGTTAGGCGAATCAATACACATTGCGGATCCCATCCAGACATCATTTCCCACAATCGACTGTGAGTGTAGCGTTAAGTCAGAGTCGTGAATGAACAGCCTTCACTCACAAGATGTGGGGCCTCAGACTCGTCAAAATATACAGCCATTGTCTTCGCTAGAGGTGCTGTGGATGAGTTTTCCGATGCCCTGATATGTTTTGAAGGTCGATGGTATGGCTCGAAGCGTTTCGTATGCATTGCGCTAGTCTTCCGGCGACTCGGAGAAAGTGTTTTCGACTCCATGGATCGATCAACAATACAATCGAGCCACCGAACTGACTTGTCATTTTTATAAATCGCAGCTTGAGTCAGTGCTGTTTTGCTCTAAATGTCGCCTTCAATTGTTCGTCGCAGGCGCATCATCGCAGTTGACGACCGATACGTGCTAATCCAAAAACTATGCTTAGATGACTTGAAGCTCCAGATTGAATCATTTGTTCTTCCCCGATCATAACCAATGATTAATATTGAACTTTGTCTGTATATGCTCGCCGCGTTTCGAGGGCAACAATAATTATGATACCAAGAGCACGTGTGAAAAGACAATGAACAAGTGTACTGTGGTGATCGCAAACAGTAAAAGACAAATCATTGATAGAACTTTAAGATATCTTTTCAATTTGGCGGTAGTGGAATAAGAAAAAGCAATAACGACACAGTAGCATATGGAAATAGAAAAAGTCGACCGCAGTCCAAACCGAGCAGTGGAATACCTATCATAGGGCGCAAAGGGTCAGTGATGATCAATGAAAAAAGCAGCGGGCACACTTATATCCCCCACTTTGTCTCTGTCTTCAGAGTTCATAACTTCATTCTCCTTCTGGTCTAGCTGGTTGTCGAGAGAAGTTTGTAGCTTCAGTCCCTGCTCATCAGCAAGGTGTAGTAGGCATATGAAACAGAAGCTCGTGTTGATATCTTCCATCTTGTCCTTCGGCACCGACTTCATCATGTGCGTGATAAATGAGTTCCCAGTCGTCCGGAAGAACTCTAGAGCACGATTCAAACCCCAAGTCGCTAAGCCATCAATGTAGTAGCATCACAGGGCGAAGGGTCCACCGGTCCCCAGAGATCGAACTGACATGAACCAAAATCAGAACATTGCTTTCATAAGTATACGATGTTGATGTAGCCTACAAGCTCAGGTATTCCCTTAAAGTTATCATTCCCTCGGCTGATATGCATTCAACTGATAACACAGTTATCTGGCATATTTGGCATACCATCAATGCCCATGTTCAATGCAGGGGGTAAAGGGCCCATGATTTCCTCTGGGGGAGACCCGTGTTTTTAAAGCTGTGATTGTACCGGCGATGTCAATGCTATGTCAAGTTTAGTAGATTTGGAGCTAACGCACCTCGCCCATGAGGTCGACGATTTTCATTCTTGTCTTGTCATTGTCATCAGCATAATCTTTCGATTCAAAAATTTTGAGGAGTTGCTTCATGCAGATGATCTGCGCATCGTAGCGTGACTTATCATCGGACGTTGATGTAGTTGCGTTGGCCTTGAGGTAGACCAGGAACTGCATATATGACGAAGGGAAAAAAAAAATCAGAGATTTCGTTATGTCAAGAACAGGCCTACCTTATCCAAGAGTTCTTTCAAGGGTTCGTACAGGACGTCCTTGCCCATAAGCTGGCCTATCATGGATTCTAGGACACCCTGCATCTCTTCTTCATCATCGTCTCTGAATTGAGATAGAAGTGCCTCGAGTGAATCAGCACTAGTAGCAGAACTGCTTGGATCCGATGACTTCAAGCCTGACTCGCTCTCCTTGAGCTTGTTCATAGTGTTCCAGATGCGTGATTGGAAGTTGTCCTTTTCACCAGTTTTCGGGGCAATAGGTGCTCCCTGTGTGAGCGCTGGGTCGGTCGCGCCATCCATCCCTTCTATCAGCATGGCTTCCCAAGCTGCTGCGAGCGTGCGCTCCCGCTCTTCTCGTTGTTCTGCAGTCTTGTCTTCATTGGTTAAACCTTCATTCACTCCTTGTTGCGCAAAACTGCGCCAAAGAGCCTCCATGTCTTCAGCGAGAGATTTCGCAAAGTCAGCTTCAAAGTCAGCATTTGATGAAGATGTATTTTGTTTGGACGAGGTTGGTTCATTCACAGCAGGTGATGACGTCGATGGTTGAGATGAACTAAACGTAAGTTCTTTGGGGTTAGTAAGAGATGTGTCGCCAACATCCTATAAGCAGGTGAGCAGAAAAGGAGGGGCAATTTGAAAGAGACAAACCATATCATCGTCTTCTCTTCTTCGTCTTCCTCCGGCTTCCTGACCTTGGTGTCCAAGCCTTTTCAAATATGTTCTTTCAGCTTCCTCGTCTGACACGCTTGGCACAATTGACAAATTCTGGTCGAACCCGCCGCGTCCGACCTTGCATGCCAGCTAAGAGATTCTGCTCTCCAACATCCTGTAGCGCTGCACCGTCGCCATCAAAATCATTATCAGAGCCCGGGTCGTCGTCATAGTTGAAGAACCGGTCACTGAAGGGTATATTTAGTCCATCACCAGCTTGCGGAGCAAAGCGTGAGTGCACAGTATTCTTACTTTCATCATTTTCAGCAGCAGCACGTCCTGCAGCTTGGTTTGCCGCAGCCTGTGCCCAAAATCGCTCGTCGACCTCTCTGTCACCGTTCTCATTCAACCTGACAGGTTGTCCATGCATCTTCAACTGGGGGTATTACATATGTCAATTCATGTCCTCACGAAAATGATCGCACATACTGAGAGTTTCAGTTTTAAGAAAAGGGTAACAAGTTGCCTGCTTGAGAAGTGCATGTCATCAGGAAGAGCATGTCCATCACGCTTCTAACGTCACTAACATAGCATATCTAAATGAGCTGAAGAACTCAACTCATGTTCCCGAAAAACTTCTACAAATTAGCACGCCATAGCGGCGTCATAGCTCAGCCTGTTGAACACAGAGCAAGCACCTTCAAGACGGCAGGAACACTAGCTTATCTTACCTCCTACTCTCCAGCTTCTTCCGCTGGTGTTCATAGTCCTTTATGTCTTGAACGAAGTTCTGGCAGGAGGTGATGAAGGTATCCTGAAAAGTAAGGGAGAACACCTCCTGCAGAGTGGCAACCTTGCAATGGGCTTTATCCAACTTCACCAGTGATGTCCCTGAATATATCAACTAAAGGAAACTAAATCGACAAATGAGTGTTGGCGTACCGAAAGCAGATTCATCTCCAAATTCTTCCCCATGTGATACCATTATGATTCCCAATGCATCCAGTGGCATGAGTTTATCTGTCTCTTGTATAACGGTTGATTCCTTCTTTTTGGAAAGTACATGTCGGTGATCTTCTGCAGCTGCCTGCAGCCTTGTCACGTAGAATCTCAGTTGGTTCTACGCAGCTCTGTGAAAGACGAACGCACTTCAGAATCCCTTCTTTTCAGAGCTCAATGTCCTGCTCAATGTCCTTGAGCTCCTCTGCGACGATAGTCTTATTTTGCGAGGATATTTTCTCGCTAGTCCCACTATTCATTCCGACAGCACTTGAGTAGAGAAGCCAGGTTTTAGTATAAATCTAAGAATAACCTGCCTCAAATAGGCATGTGAGGGTGACAGCAATGTCCAGATGGCCAAACTCTGCCCGCAACAAAGGCATGTCTTTTGTGCGAAATGGAACAGCTAGCATTGTTCATTTTTGGGCAAGGCTATAGTCCACACGCCAGCGGCGTTCTTTAATGGTGTGCACCGTTGCAACGTACAGCGAGTAGCCCAAACTTCCAAACATAAAGGTTTGCAAGGAGCAACTGCAACTGCAACAATATTAGTTGCCAAGGGCAAAGACGATAACATTGTTTTACCTAGAGAAGAACGCAAAGGTCGAATCTGGATTCCGGAATCGAGCTAGGGTCAGCCTTTCAGGATGGCAGCATTGGCCACGAAGACCAGTGAGCGCAACGAACATGCAGCAAATCAACACATACGGTAGCAGTAGTCTATTTGGGTGCGTGGTGCGACTAAAGGTTTTAACCTGATCAGATCAACCTCGTGTACTAGTAAAGTCCGATCCCAAAATTGTTTGTGATTATTTTTATTCATGTAAGCTATTGTACTATTGACTCATTGTGGGTTATCAATAATGTTACCCGATGTTTTGGTCGCCAAGACTTTTCCAACCATCAACCAAACCATGTTCATCGTCGCCCACTCATAATCGACTGTGAGCACTACGGTCGCTCGGATCGCCCACGGGTGTATCAAAACCAGAAGACCAGCCTGCGGTGAGTTCAACAGTGATGGCTGAAATGACCAAAACTGATCCTATCCCATTCTCATTCGGACTTGCACCTAATTTCTTCAACAGACTGGATCTTTAGACTTCAGTGCCCTTTACCACGCCCACGTGCAATATACACTGGCTCTGTAGCTCTCAGTGTCGGTGCAACTTTAGCTGAACCCTGAGTAGTCCTGCATGTGAATACCCGGTCACGACCTACTTTCCTTCGTGCCCCGCCTTTCTACTTCCTACACAGAGTCAAAATGACCATCGAACCGAGTCTTCGTATCGACATAAAACTTTACAAGGCTCTACTGAGATCTGCGCACTAGACACGGAATTCCACTGGCAGTTGTTCTATTGGTACGGGGTGGGTCTTCCTTTTCCATTTATCTCTGGCACACAAAATTGAAAGTGAAAGGAAAGTTACTTTGATCACCTATCCAGTCCAGCTGCCTTCATCGCTGTAAACGGGCGAATTTATTATTACAAATCTCAGTACTCTCAAGACTTGTTTAGCGTAATCGGGTAAGTCATCTGCAAGTCTGAACATCATTCGTATGCGCTGAAATCTCACAACCCTTCTGGTTTCAAATAGATGAAGGCTGTGCATATACCTATAACAATGTTTTCCATCTCCATGTACGTGAGACACCCCAGACAACCATGCATTAGCATTATGCAGAGCACAGTATCATTGCAAAGGAAGACGAGCTGTGGCTCACGCGGTCCACGCAGCTAAGCCATACTTATGGTGCAGGCAGGAAAATCACTGAGCACGAGGTCTGTGTGAAGCGAGTGCATGTTGAGAAGCTCTAGAAGAGCAAGACTAACTACTTTTTTTAAAGGCGATATACTTCTTTGGGTCGCACTGGCTTCGAGAAGCTCATCAATGGGTTTTTAGCTCGGTAATTTCCAGATTACAGAAATCTTATCTGAAGGACAAAATGGACGATATCAGCA